GACAAAAAAAAAAAGGGGGGGGGGGGGGGACTGGAGGAAAATTATAAACGGGGCCGAAGAGCCGAACCCTTTCACTTGCATTGTCACGAATCTGACATTCTGATCCTCGACGATGGCTTCCTCAACTCCGTTTTCGGGGCCCTCATCGTCTTCCCCTTCGCCTTCGATTCTGGAAGATGAAGGACCCAGAAATTGGGCGGAGCTTCCGCCGGAGCTGACGGCGACGATTCTTCACCGGCTCGGCGCGGTGGAGATATTGACGACTGCTCAAATGGTGTGCAAATGGTGGCGCAGCGTCTCCAAGGATCCGTCGATGTGGCGGGAGATCGACATGCGAAATTCCGGAGACCTTCAAAGCATGGAACACGATCTAGAGATCATGTGTCTTCACGCCGTCGGTCGCAGCCTCGGTGGCTTGGTCGGTATCAACATTGAGTATTTCGGCACTGACTCTCTCCTCGCCAGCATCGCCGACAGGTTCTGTCTCTCTCTCTCTCTCTCTAGAATTTCGATTGGGTTTCAACGAAAGTTCTAATCTTTCGGATGATTTCTATGGAAATGGAATTCAGAATAGAATATGCTCTTGTTCTAGGGTTGTGATGATTTTGGTGCATCTTGAGGAACAAAGACTCTTACTTATACGCTGTATTCTTTAATTAACTGATTGGAAATGTGTTATCTTATATGCTTTTCTGTCTGAAGGTGATGAGGAATGCGTGTTCATAAGCTGGACAGTTTGTTGTCCTGTTCCTTCACAAGCATTATGTTATACCTCTTCTTATCTTAGTTGTGAACTTTTGCTGTGATAAAAATATTTCTGACAAGGCCGAGGCATGTTTGTCAAATCAGTAGGTTTTGGTAAAGCAGCTCAATCGGCTTTGATTTTCTTTGGTCAGGGTAGGGTTATTAGATGCAGAGATGGCAAGGGTAATGTTAATTGATAGATGTATTAGGAGTTGCCTTAAGATCAAGTCCAACTTTACTGCTGTTGTGATTCTTCTGGGCTTGTTAATATATTTTAATTGCTGTTATACACACATACTGTCATGGATCATGAACTAGCTGCAAGATTCTTGTAGGCTATTAAGTGGTTGCCTTGTTGCTCATTTCCCTCCATCATGTTGTGGTGGAGCTGTTTGTCCAATTAGGGGCAACAGTCTTTGTTTATTTGTATTTGCTTTCTTTGTTTTCTAATAATTTCATTGGCAGCGCTCATATGTTTCACTGGTTGTCATAATCTTTTCTTTGTTACCAGGCCAGTGTGCTAAGATCTAATCCTAGAGGAAAACTGGGTTTTCTGCGAAATCTTAACCCATCAAGTATTGGGTAGTTGATAACCTTTTTTGAACTTGTTAAAATTGTTGGACATAAACGATGATTTTGAACGAGACTTCATCTTGGTTCAGCCAACTAGTAGAACCCTTTCTTGTTTTCTAGTGTTGGTAAACCTTTTGAAGAAGATTGCCATCTGTATCCTACACATTTTCTTTTTTTATCTATTTTTGAAGAAAGAGTAAATTTTTATATCAATACAAGGTATTGAAGCTCGTTGTTAAAGACATTTTTTTCTCAAAACATCTTTACTAGAATCCTTCTCCCATTTGCTCTTGTGTGCTCATTTTTCCAATTTATCACAATACGATGATCATTTTTCCATGGTATTTGACACAATATTTCTCACTCCTTCAATTAGAAGTAACCACAACTTCTTTGATTCTTGGGTTTCCATAACCTTTGAGTTGATATGGTGGTTTCAAGACATCATTTTTCGTAACGATATTTTGCTTCTTAATTTTTGTTTTTGGTATCTTGAATAATGTTTAACTGCACTGTTGGCAGCTCAACTCATCTTCAACGTCTTAGACTTGTATCCTGCTATGAAATAACGGACGAAGGACTTGTGGAAGCAGTCATGAAACTTCCATTGCTTGAAGACCTCGAGGTCTCATACTGCTCGGTGTCAGGAGATGCTCTGCGAGCTGTAGGTCGTTCTTGCCCACTTCTGAAAACATTGAAGCTGAACTGCCCAGGTTACAGGCGTCCTCGGATTGAGTGTGATGACGATGCCCTAGCCATTGCTCAAAGCATGCCTGAACTCCGACATCTCCAGCTCTTTGGTAACAGACTAACAGAAACTGGTCTGTACGCCATTCTCGACTCCTGTCCTCACCTGGAACACCTTGACTTACGCCAATGCTTCAACCTCAACCTGGTGGGAAACCTGGGGAAGCGTTGTTCCGAAAAGATCAAAGATTTGAGGCGCCCCAATGACCCGACTGATGATTATGCTTTCGATGCCACAGTTATTGATATGGTTTCATCTGATGATGACTACCCGTATGGTTTCTCGGACATTGATCTTCTGTCAGATGACGAGTACCACTACGAGTTCTCTGGAGCCAGCGACTATTCCGACTACGGGAACTATGACTATGACTATTATGACGACGAATTTTTCCTCTGACGAGAGATTTGATCCCGCAGCTTTTACCTGGTAGAGTGAAGGCATGTTCTCTTTTCTGGTAAACAATCCAATGATGCTTTCTGTTAATCCTTGTATCATTGACTTTGAATGTTTTGTCTAAAACCTTGCTTCAGCCCCTTTGAACTGAAAACAGTGGGCGGTATCTGAACTATATATTATAATAAAATCATAGGCATTTCTCATTTCGCTTTTCATGCTTTTGTACGTTCAGTCTGAAAATGCATATCCATGTCTAAAATAACATCTCATTTTGTGTTTATTCAACCGTTCAAATGCTGCAACCAGTCTCAGCTCCAAGGGCTAAGGAATGCTAAAGACAAGTCGGTTTAACTCTAAAAGGGGTGTTTGTATATAAGGTTTCACTCAAGTCGGCAAGGGCTAAGCCTCTTGCATGGAAAAATGAGTCGCCTTTTTTGATCCGATCACCGGAAAACTTCCAAAAGTTTGCCTCTTGCAATGAAACACCACACCAGAATTTGCAGCAATATCAATGAGGTTTTGGAACATAACCATCAACAGCGAAATTCCTCGTGGCTGCAGGAATGGCTAGACGAATTCCTTCCAGCTCTGGCTTCGCGATGATTTGGCATCCCAGTCGCGACCTGTTACGATCAACATGACAACATTTCGGATCTAAGATCAGATGGGCGATAATTCTTTTTTTGCGTTTATTATTACAAGAACTTACGTTTCAGTAAGACTGAAGGCAAGATCCAACATATCGTTCTCTTCATCTGTCGGGTCTTCCAGCTTGTTATAGTACTCTGTGTCCTGTAATAATACCATTTACTTATCCGATAGAGTGAATCTCGAAACCAAGAAAACATAAGTTTAACCTACACAGAAGTGCGAGGAAGTTTATTTACCATCACAATAACATGACAAGTTGAACACGCTAGAGAACCTTCACAAGCCCCTGCCATGGAAGTAGAGGATCAGTCCATGAACTGATGAAGGATGGAATTGCTACTCATGACCATAGAATCAGCACATGTCATGGATATGTGTATCATCTTTTTAGTGGAAAAAAAGAAACGGAAAAAGAGAACAATGCAACAAAAACTCGCCTTCGAGTTCTATATCATTTTCATGAGCAGCTTCAAGCATTGACATTCCAACAGGGACTTTAATATGAATTTCCTCTCCATCCTTGTCGACAAACGTAACATTTATTCTGCAAAAACCAAGTAGAAAAATAGGAAATGGAATCAAACGCCAGTACAAGAGTCCCTTCATATCGTCACCGAAACATTACAAATTACAACTTTTAACAAGAATGGTAGAGCAACACATATGACCACAGTTCTTCTAGGCATGCATCGAAATTACCATCTACTCCCTGCTACTAAACTTACTTTTCATTTTCTTCGTCTCCCTTCTCGACTGCAGTGCTGGAAGATGAACAAAACTTATAATTCTTCAAAAACATGGCTTCCTGAGAAATCCTAGTTTGGCTCTGTACCATGGGCTATAAAAGAGACAAGGTGGAATGGTACCACATCAATAAGAAACTATAACAGAATTCAATAGAAGCAAGCATATAGAAGCTAGCTAACTTTTATTCTTCCACAATCATTGGAGCAATCGTAAATATTATCAAACCAAGGATCCAGAACCAAACTCGCTATCTAAGCATATATTAGATTCAGCTTGGGCCATGATTACAACAAGAGCTTATGGATCAAGAAAGCGGATAATCACTCCTCTATTCTATGGCAAATGGAAACTGCTGTGTCTGATTCTTAAACCAAGCAAGGTGCAATCAAAAAGGGAAATAAAGACAATGATACATAAAGTTTCAAGAAAGAGGACAAGCTCAGACTAACCAAAGATCGCAAACATTGGCTGTAAGACCTTTGTAGATTCCATGTTCCACATATTGATGAACGTCGCCCTGCCAAAACCGAAAGGTAAAGAAAAAGAAACACAAGGTCATCATGAATGTAGTTAAACCACACTCTCCATTTGTTCCTGTAATGCTACATCCCTGAACAAAGAACGCTCTCAAAGGCAGTACTAACCCCCAATATGCAGAGGAAAACATTCCAAGTGATGATGAATCAGAGGGAAAACACTTCATCCAATACCATAAAAGCTCTAAATGGTAGAAACTACAGATAAACATCAAAACAAATCAGACAGTACCTCCTACAATCTCTTTAAGAATGCGAGAACCCAGTCTTGATATCCTATGAAGGACCATGCTGTATTGATACAAAAGCTCCTACCTTGAGGATATCTGAAACCACGAAACAATCCAAATCAACCCAAATGAGTATAACATAAAACAAGGTAAAGCAAAAAATTTAACTAACCAAAACGGCGATTTCACGGACTAATCCCCAAACCCGAAAGTAAGCATTTTTCCATCAGAATTTACAAAAGAACGATGGAAATATATGAACTTGGGCAGACGGATGCAGAAAACACAAAGAATTACAGTCTTATAGATTACTCCGCAAACAAAATACAATATTGGAGAAAACCCGAAAGAGGAATCGAGGGCAACACGAGGAAAAAAAAAAAAAAAAGAGGTAAAAATATTCACTTTATGAAGAATAAACAGAGGAAGAGCTGGACGAAAGGGTATACAAGAGAGTCGCGTGAAAGCGTTTGAACTTACAAGGCACGTAGGCAACCTCCGCAGCAGCCTCTCAAGGGTTCTTCTTCCTTTCTCTTCCTTTGTGTCCTTGTTTCTTAACCCCTTCTGTTTCCCTTTCCCGTTCTTTGTTCTGAACCGGATCGGACCGGTCCGGCCCGTCTGACATATGCTCCGGTAGAGATGATCAATTTTAATTTGGTTTGCGTTCGGTTTCTGAACCATATTACAGCAAGCAAGAAGCTCAGAGCCTCAGATTAGATTCCATTCCGTTAGGATCACGCGAATTTGGGGTTCAAATAGGTCTCTTTGGAATTCGATTCAATTGGATCTAGGTTGATAGAAATCAAATTGAAAAGAGACTGAACCAAGCTCAGTTTATCCAATTAGGTTTAGTACGGTTCAATACGATTAAACCGGTTTGATTCAATTCGGTTTTCATGTCCAAGTTCCCAACTTTCCGGTGCAAGATTCCATTCAATGAAAAGAGAGATGGACCAAGAAGTAGAAATCAAATCCATAGCAAAAGATGTTTCCTTTTCACTTCACTCTTCTCTGCAATCACATTTCATCCCACAATCATTTACACCTTCACGAAGAGATCTTGAAAAAGAAATCACATGGCAAAAAGAGAGATTCAAGACACAACAGTTGATCTGGAAAGCCAGACATAAGTTGCAAAAACAAGAAACATCTCGGATTAGAATCTGGCAAAGTGAAGCAGATCACTTGCAGAGGTCGAGAAAAGAGGCAGCCATGTTCAAGCGCCCGCTGCGTCAGAAGCTCTCATGTCTTGCTGCAACTGCTCCTCGGCAT